GCCCTTGAACTTTTTTTTTGGTGCCGGGGATCGAACTCGGGTCCTTGCGCTTGCGCAGCAGGCGACGAAACCACTGAGCTAAATCCCCGGCCCTCTGCCCTTGAACTGCAGCCGAGTTAACGCCACTTCTCCTCCGGCGCTCAACACCCCCCCTCCCCCCTTTTTCTTTCTCTCTCTTCCTTCTCAAGCCCTACCCTCAACTCCATTTATACAAATGCTGTATGTAATCAGAAAATACACCAAAATAAAGTAGTTGCTGAGAAGAGCACCGAATGCCAGCCCTTTACTCACCTTTAGCTACTTTGAGAAAAACACCACCACCACTACCACCACCACCACCCGCTTCCTTTCTCTGATCCTTGCCCTCTCTCGTTCTCCCCCTTCCCTTTCTCGCTTCCTCTCCACTCCACTCCCCTCCGCTCTCTCCAAAGATGGTGGGTATCGGGGTACATACAATTAACGGAGAACACCAAAGACTTCAAGATAGTCGAGAGTATTCCTTGCACTTCTTTTGCAGGTCCCTACAGGTACCAGGTTTTGTTGATCTGTTGTTGCTATTTTGTTTTGTTTTTTTGCAAAAGACTCTTTGGTTGATTCAAGTTGTTAAAAAAATCCTCACAAACTCATTGCACTCAAATCTGATGCAACTTTAATCAAATTCCCAACATAGTTTGTCACAGAATGCAACAAACTAAATCTAAACTGTGTATGGAAGAGGATAAAGCTAATTTTCCCTTAAAAAGAAGAAGGTAGTGGGCCGGGGATTTAGCTCAGTGGTTTCGCCGCCTGCTGCGCAAGCTCAAGGACCGGAGTTCGAGTCCTGGTACCAAAAAAAGAAGGTAGAGAATTTGATTTAGGAGATATAAATACAGTACTGATTACATAGCTACAGTAATTAAAACAACAAACGAATTAATCCATCAAGAGAGGGTTAAATATATAAAAACCTGATTTATGATACAGCAGGCCTTGGCAGATGCATGGGGAATAGATACATGGTTCACTAAGTGCAATATCGACAATTGATACAGAAAAAAATTTACATCCCTCACTCATAACCTTACACAAAGCAATCCCATTGAATTAAAAATGTAGATGCAAATGGGGCATGGTGGACACAACTGTAATACAAGCTCACTGGGAGGCTGAGGCAGAAGGATGTAAGTTTCAGCCCAGCCTGGGCAACGTAGCAATTTAGACTCTGTCTCAAAATAAAAAATAAAAAAGGTTAGGGATGTAGCTCATTGTGAAGGCCTTGGGTTCAATCTCCA